ATAAAAAGAGTTTTAATATATATATATATATATATATATATATATATATATATTGTTTGAACGGACAAGCGACAGTACCCAGATGTTGTGTCAGTCATGCGAATAATAAATGAACCCAACTCAATAAAGACTGTTATTTTGAATGTGACCGATGAAAATCAAGTCCCCAGAGCCGATGAGAACCGCCTGTGTGGTTACATTAACGTGCGATTCAAGGTACGCACCAAATCTGCGCAGAAAACGCATAAAGTACTAAAGCAACTCGAGTGCTTATTTCTTTCTTATGTAGGCTTAGATGGCTTTGGGCACATTCCCAAACAAACAAGTGAGAAACATGAAGGCAGGAGTAGTAGTCCTCCATAGAATCCTTGGGTCAAGTCCAAACACCACATAGTAAGTAGTAGCCGGCTGAGAAACAATGCCAGTCAAGTGTATCCGGGCCGGAAATTCGTCAATATGTAGATCTATGATTACCTAGATATAATGAACCATCAACTAAGGCATCGTCCTGTAAGAGAAGAGAAGCCAATCTATGCTGAAAAGTCGAGAAGCACTGTACAGTTGCTTCATCCATCAACCTCCCGGCTAGTGGTTCGGACATTTAACAGTTTGGCCACTAGCGGTTCATTAGCATTGCGATTAACTCACCACTTATTTTTCAATGAAGAACGAAAACTAAATCAATTTCTTGCCATAATAGCGTGCATTCGTGCAGCAGAAAAAGTGGACACATTTGGTTTCACTGTTACTTCATCAGGGCGGTTACCAATTTCAGGGAGTTGTCTCGATACTTCAGAGATATTTTTTGCGTCTTTCGCACGCAGCAGCCAAACTTTACTACCTTTGTTCTTTGTCATGATTCTCTAGCAGAATTTCCGTTGTTTTATATTTGGATTTGGAATGGACAGGTCGGTTGGTTGGAACAGGGAAAACCCGGTTCTCTTTGTCAGACTGAGGCTTTGCGAATAATGCGAAACGAAAGCTTGGTTAATTCTATCTCGTTGAAGTTCTCTGAGGCGGTTAACCGTGCCATTAGTAAGAAAATCAAGGGGTAGGTGTAGTACTTTCTTGTTTCTGTTTACTCCGTTTATCCCGTTCTTGTTCGGCTTGGGGCGAGATGGCCCAAGTGACTAGAGCGCGAATTTACTGACCGGAAGGTCCGTGGTTCGAATCCGACCTTTCCGTTGTTTTAGATTTGGATTTGGAATGGACAGGTCGGTTGGTTGGAACAGGGAAAACCCGGTTCTCTTTGTCAGACTGAGGCTTTGCGAATAATGCGAAACGAAAGCTTGGTTAATTCTATCTCGTTGAAGTTCTCTGAGGCGGTTAACCGTGCCATTAGTAAGAAAATCAAGGGGTAGGTGTAGTACTTTCTTGTTTCTGTTTACTCCGTTTATCCCGTTCTTGTTCGGCTTGGGGCGAGATGGCCCAAGTGACTAGAGCGCGAATTTACTGACCGGAAGGTCCGTGGTTCGAATCCGACCTCCACCACTCGACTTCCCCTGTCTAGGCGTGGGCAACCTGGCAGTATCCCAGCCCTCGTGCTTCCTTCGGGTGGCATGGC